AAGCGCAAGGTCCGGAGTTCAATCCCTGGTTCCGCAAAAAAAAAAAAAAAATAATAATAATAATAATAATAATAATACTCAAGTCTCCTCTGTTTCGTCTGTGCTCTACGCACAGGCCTGATCACATAGATCAGGCTGCACTCTGACCCAGACAAAGCCTCCTAAATGGCGAACCTCATTAGAGTGGTGCCATTTTTCTCAGTCCTAAGAGCTGACCACTAAAGGAGCCATATGACCTCAGTACACACACTTTCAACTTCATTAAGCAAGTCACTTCTGCATACAGACATTTCAGTTAGGATATTTTTAAGATTTAAAATTTTTAATCTATAAAAGGAACATTTGCATATCTTTCTTTTCTAAATTGGTTTTGTTTCTCAAAGTATCATTTATGTGCACATCTTTTTGTACATGCTCTACTGGTTTTAAGGAAGTAAGTAAGGGAAGGGAAGTACATTTATAAGTGGTTATAAAGGCAGTAATGAAGACTTTTATCAGCCCTACAAAGCAAGCTGTTTCTCAAGCACACCTTGCATTTGCCAGCAGAGCACAGGAAAAGACCACAGTGAAGATTTTATTGAAGAATACTGCATTACAGTCAGCAAAACCCTAAATAAGACATTTTTTCCCTACCTAGTACTAACCCCAAAGGTTTTGTGAGGATTAATTTCAAAACTGTAAAGAGCTTGTAAGTTGTAAAGTACTATAGAAAGTTCTAGAGAAATGAAAAGTGTAGTTCTCAGATGAAGCTCAAAGGTCATTCATATTTTTAAATCATCTGGGACTTTACTATGTAAAAATTCCCAACCACTGGTTAAATTATAAAACATAAAATGTTCACACACCACAAGAAAGTTACTATGTACTGATATGAAAAGACCTCTAAGATAAATTACATGATGATACATAAGAGTATAATATAAAATGTCATCTTTTGTATAAAAGATAAAGGAGAAAAAAATGAATTGTGGTGGGATAAGTAAGAAACATAACTGGCCACGTGTGTCGGCGCACACCTGTAACGTAGCATTCAGGAGGCTGAGACAGGAGGACTGCTGTGAGTTCAAGACCAGCCTAAACTACATAAATGAGAAATTACTTTAAGGGGACTGATTGGCTTTAGTCCATGAGAACCCAGGGAGAAGACAACCTATATTTACTGCATCAACCTTTTTTAAGTGTTTGTTTTTGTTTTTTTTTGGGGGGGGAGGGTCTATTTAAAAATGGACTATTTTTTAAATGGAATATTTACAAAAACACATATTTTTTTAAATTTTATTTATTTGTGTGTGTGTGTGTGTGTGTGTGTGTGTGGCCAGCTCAGCCCACCAGGGGGTGAGGCTGGCTGGCATGTGGTGCTGGGGGATTGAACCGCGGTCCCTGTGTTTTGCCAAGCTTGTTCCAATAGGTGCTTTAGACCACTGAGCCATCTCACCAGCCCCAAAAACACATATTTTTTTAACCGGTAGCCAGATCACATAGCTGAATCTACTTATCTTCTTCAGCTTGCTCTTTCCCTTCTGCATTAACTCACACCCTAGAGATCATGTATAAAAGGGGCAAAGATGGACTCCGCCAAGCCATTAGGAATGGAAGAGGCGCTCAGAAGGGCAAGAAGGGAGTTTGGAAGAGGACATCAGTGTGTGCCAGAGTGACTTTGGAGAGGAAGAGAACTTTAGACCAGCACCTAAAGGATAAATAAGACAAGTCTTCCTTGTTTGCTTTGGTTTGGTTTTTTCATCTTTTTAAGACAGGGTTTCACTCAGGCTGGCCTTGAGCTCACTTTGTAGCCCAGTCTGGTCTCAAACATACAAAGATCCTCCTGCCTCAGCATCCCAAGTGCTAGGATTACAGAAGTGTGCCACCACACCCAGCTAAGGACAAGTTTTTGGATAGGAACACTGGCAACTAGGAGACAGATCAGACAGAGGAATAAAATGAAAAAAGTTGGGGCCAGGGAGATGGCTCAGTAGGTTAAGTGCTTCCCTGGCAAGCACAAGGGCCTGGGTTCAACCCCTGGTTCCACAAAAAAAAAAAAAGAAAGAAAGAAAAAAAAGAAAAAAGTAACTGATCAAAGTCCTCAAGAAACAGAAAGAGAGCTTCAATCTTCCCCGCCTACCCTGTCCTCTGCCAGGAGATTCATAGATCCTCCAATGAAAGTCCTGGCAGGCGCCTTGAATGGCACACTGCCATTCTTCTCATTGTATAAATAGTGAAGTACTGGCTCACGAAGATTAAATATATCTTTTTTTTTTTTTTTTTTTTTAAACTAAGGTTACTGAGCAGAACTGAGACCAGAACGTAGGTTTTATAACTGCTAGTTCAACACTCTCCGGTAATAAGGAACATTACATGTTCAGTTGTCTAACATCCATATGTGGAAGCACTTAGTTTCAATGGGTGAACCCATTTAAGATTAAGATCTGAATTCCAGACTTGGACAGTTAATCAGCACTCTTGCTGGGCGTGGTGGTGCATGCTTGCAATCCTAGCAGTTGGGAGCCTGAGGCAGGAGGATCTGCTCCAAGTCTCAAGGCCAGCCTAAACTATATACATAGACCCTGTCTCAAGAAAGGAGGAGGAGGTGGAAAAGAAGAAATAATAAACAGCACTTTTGTTAAATACAGGGAAGGCTGAATTCAGTGATAATTCTCTTAGCCACCTGACTTAGGCAAATGGAGGGCGGCAGCACATTAGAGCAACCAGGACCACGGAGGAGACACGAACTCCAATCCTGGTACAGCTACTTGCTGGCTTGGTATCAGTGTCCTCGTTAAAAAAAAATGAGCAGTTGAATTTTGTGTATAAATTTTCTTGAAATTAAAACACCCAAATCTGTTACCTAGCAACTCAAATTCATTTCATGAATTCATCAAGAACTATAATGTAGATTAGTACTTCAGGTTTTAATTTTCATTGTTTGTACAGCCCCAAAAAAGAAAGTAGTCGCCAAACAAAAAAGCAACAAACCATGACAAATGCTTTTCTCTGAGATTTCATCTCACCTCAGAAAAACAGCTATCATCAAGAGAACAGGGCTGGAGAGATG